TGATGGATGACAAATGTAGAGTTCTCAGGACACCAAAGGCATGTGCATTAATAACTTCAACATCACATCACAATACACATATTTATTGCAAAATCGCACCTATTTATATCAGCATAGGTGCTACAGCGTCTACCTTGATGTGCTTTACCGTAATATTGCGTTGTAATTTTTCATTTCACGCTGCCATTAGACTTCATAGTCATTGCTATTCGCGCTTATCTTGCTATTGACATTTCCGCTATTGTACACAGTATATAGTATTGTATCTAGGAAGAATTTGAAGTAAAAATTACTTTGGTTACAGTATACGTAGAGTCAGCGTTTTATAACCTCATCTTTGAAAAGGTTCTATTCCACTTTGATAACCTGGCTTTTTGATAAAGTGGACTTCAAGCGACAATTTGGTGTCCTTTGATGACCCATGGATAAGATGACCTGGGTGATCAAAGTGGACTCCAGTTTAATGATTAAATTAACACAAGCATATTTTATACCATTCAGAGGTGTGATTTATTTTAGGTGATCAAAGGAAACTAAAATAATAATCCCAACTAATATTATAAATGCGAAAGTAACTCTGTCTGTCTGTCTGTCTGTCTGTCTGTCTGTCTGTCTGTTACGCTTTCCCGCTTAAACCTCGCAACCGATTTTGATGAAATATGGCATAGAGATAGTTTTTTGCGGGCGGAAAGCTAGTAATTATTATAAACTAGCTTTCCGCCCGCGGCTTCGCCCGCGTGGAATTTTGTCTGTCACAGAAAAACTTTATCGCGCGCGTCCCTGTTTCAAAAACCGGGATAAAAACTATCCTATGTTCTTTCCCGGGACTCAAACTATCTCTATGCCAAATTTCATCAAAATCGGTTGCGAGGTTTAAGCGGGAAAGCGTAACAGACAGACAGACAGACAGACAGACAGACAGACAGACAGAGTTACTTTCGCATTTATAATATTAGTTGGGATAAATCACACCTCTAAATAGTATAAAATATGCTTGTGTTACGAGTGGGTTTACCGCGATAGTAGAGCGGCAGCGGGTACTGAACACGTGTTCCTCGGATCACGATTCGGCCACACCACCCTCACCGTTCGGCTATCGTAGCCTGAATTGTAGACATATTCTAATGTAGGTACTTATTTTAGTAGCTCGTAGAGCTGATGGCCGCTGGGGCAGGGAAGTTCTTGAGTGGCGACCACGAGCCGGAAGACGATCGTAGGGTGGGCAGTCCTCCCACTAAGTAGGTGGACCGACGATCTGGTGAAGGTCGCGGGAGGTGCCTGGATGCGAGCGGCGCAGGACCGGTCTTTGTGGAAATTCTTGGGGGAGGCCTTTGTCCAGCAGTGGGCGTCTTTCGGCTGAAACGAACGAACTTATTTTAGTAAGTGGTAATGGACTTGACCTGATTCATTTTCTTTGTTTACATACAAAAGTACAAAGTACCTATAATAATAATATAATGAAAGAAAAACAAAGGTATTGTAAACAATAAGTACTTATTTTATCAATCAATGGACAGTGGCCTAGCGAGGTCACCGAACTCTACCCCATCACTCACCCTAGTGCATGTTAGTGATGGGAAATTGTTTTTTGGCATTTTATGTATCGATAGTTGACTAAAAAAGAAAATTTCCAGTTTAAATCAATACCGATAGACTACTAAACTTTAATCTATTATGTTGTCCATCATCTAATATAATTTACATTCGCTGCCTTTTGCTTTTTTTCCCGAACACTATAATCCCGGCCTTTTTGAGGCGAGAGTGAATACACTAATAGGGCAGATATGTAGGTATTCGTACCATCCTAGACTGCATCTCACTTAAAAACTCTCACTCATCATGATTAGAGATTGTCATTGATGTATCCTTTTAGGCAGATGATAGTATTTTTATTTTTAAAATTCAGTTAACATTTTATAGGTTCTATATTAATAATATCGGTATTTAACTTAAGATTCAACGGAAGTCTTATCTTTATCGATATTTTTCTTCCCTTCACTATAGTCCTCACCATGTACTAAGCGTTAATTTCACTTTAATAATGCACGCACTTTACTTGTTTCCACTTTGATTACAGATATCGATTTTATGTTTTATCTTATTTACTTTTTCTAGTTTTCCGAAAAGGGCTTGGAAAAATAGAAATTGACAATTTTCTTTTTGTAAAGTATCTTATGGTAAAGATTTTTATGTTCCTTGCAAGTGACATCACATTTTATGTTCATGTCACCGTAAAATTGGCAATTCCGACACATAACTCACTTTTAGTTTATAAGCTCACGCGTTATATTACAAACTGAAAGAGTTCATAATTTCACGTTGGCATTTACATTAGGTTCTCCTGCGGATCTCCTCATTTCTGATTCGATCACGCAGGGAAACTCCAAGCATGGCCCGCTCCATCGCCCTTTGGGTGACCTTGAGCATTCTTATGAGGCCCATAGTAAGCGACCACGTCCTCAGGAGAACCAAAGTGACCGACATAGCTCGCAGAATTGCTAAAATCAAGTGGCAGTGGGCGAGGCACATAGCTCGTAGAGACGATGGCCGTTGGGGCAGAAGAGTTCTCGAGTGGCGACCACGGGCTGGAAGACGTAGCGTGGGCAGGCCTCCTACTAGGTGGACCGACGATCTGGTAAAGGTCGCGGGAAGAGCCTCGTTGTGGGCAGCGCAGGACCATGCATTGTGGAAAACCTTGGAGGAGGCCTTTGTCCAGCAGTGCCCAGTGGACGTCATTTGGCTGAAACGAACGAACGATTTACATTAGGTTTTTTGTTTGAAAACATTCAAAGTCAAAGTCAAAGTCAAAGTCAAAATGTATTTATTGCATTTCATGAATGTTTACAAGATGTGGTTATCATATTATCCAGTACATCATGTTACCCATTTAGGCTTAGCACTGATATACACTATACTGGTGGTTGTCAAGAATCTTATATTTCTCTAAAAAGTAAACATTACAAATTAATAAATGTTTGTAGAGTGCCTTAGTGCCTTTATTTGAATAGGCCTAGCTTTTTGTTTCGTAGAGCAATTAGGACAGAGTGTGTGTAAAGACAATCAACGGACTTATAATTGACACGACATAATTCGTTCGACACAAACACACTTCAATCATGGTTGCTGACGTCAGTACATAGCAAATTAGTTTAGGCTGTATGAAGACTCTTGTAAACATTGTATAGACGGCGCATTAATAGCATAATCAAGGTGAGTCTACCACTACCACCACCACGTAGACCAGCGGTTCCCGAATGGTGGTCCGCGGAACCCTGGGGTTCCGTGGAAAGTCTGCAAGGGTTCCGTAAAAAATATTATCCCACGTTTCGTGACGGACGTTGTTCGCGCGCCGACTTGTTTACGCACAAGGGAGGGACAGGGCGTGCGGACGGAGTAGTACGGGGGTTCCGCTAGGAAAAGTATAATCAATTAGGGTTCCTTGGCAGAGAAAAATTGGGAAACCGTTGGGTCGGTTTTCAATTTATATGAGGACTAGCGGCCGCCCACGACTTCGTACGTGTGGATCCCGTTTTACCTCCTTAGGGGTGGAGTTTCGTAAAATCCTTTCTTAGCGGATGCCTACGTCATAACATCTACCTGCATGCCAAATTTCAGCCCGATCCGTCCAGTAGTTCGGGCTGTGCGTTGATAGATCACTATGTCAGTCAGTCACCTTCGAGTTTTATATACAGGGTGGAAACGATAAGTGATCTCACTCGATTATTTCTAAACTATACAAGATATCGAAAAACTGATTACTGATCCTGAAAGTGCTTCATGAGCTCTTTCAAACGGTATCAGTAATAGGTTACAGAATTAACTGGATCTATCGGAAAATGTAATGTTCTCAGCCTCCATACTAAATGTATGCCAGCCACACAATATTAGAAGTGTTAATTTTTTTTATCAAATAATAAATACTTAAGATGAACTCGTAAACTGCATTCTTATTTAAAATTATTCATGGAAAACATTGGCTTTTGGCTTTACCTGTTATAATATTATCAAGAAATGAGTGCCATGACTGTGGCAGTACTAAATGTGTGGAAGCTGGAAACATTGAATTTTTAGATAGATCCAGTTTATTTTATAACTTATTATTGATACCAATGGATAGAGCTCGTAAAGCCCTTTCAGGATCAGTAACCAGTTTTTGGATATTTTGTATAGTTTTTAATATTATGTGGTTTTACTAAATGTATGGAAGCTGGAAACATTGAATTTTCGGATAGAACCACTTCATTTTGTAACTTATTATTGGTACCGTTGGATAGAGCTAAGGAAGCACTTTCAGGATCATTATCCTGTTTTTGGATATCTTGTATAGTTTAAAAATAATCGAGTGAGATCACTTATCGTTTCCACCCTGTATAGAAGTGGCCGGTAAAGTGGCAGTGGGTTAACAGCCCGACCCAACTATCGGCCGAATAAAAGTCCATAGTCTGTAGGGTGTCTAACACTATGGTATCTTATGGAGTTGTATGTAATAGGAACTCTTATAAGCTGATTGCAATAAAAGTAGAGTCGAAATACGATGTGTTTAAGTGCCAACCAAGTAGATAGAACGGATTACTTTATTGGAGTAAGATTTTTTTTAAATATAAGATTTTAAACTTTCACGTTCTTATTTCGACTTAAATAGAAAGACACGGGTCTTCTTGATGCGACATTTATTAATGAGTTACATTAGTACTAACGGATTTTTAAAATATTTGATACCTGGCCCGCACTCCCAGTCACTTACAGTCAATAACTTTCTCCTTGCCCTGATTGTAGGAAATTAAAAAAAAGTTCGCGATTAAAAAACTATAATTTCACGTAACATCATGTCAATCACATACATGTAAAGTGACATCCCCATCGCATGCTAACAAAGAGAACCGACGCCCCCACATACGGCAACACCACGAAACTTAATTTGAATGGTGAAAAACCCCCATAGAAAACACCCCACACCCCATCTGGTCAACTCAGTGTGACCCGCGCCCGCGTGACAGAAGCTCGCGCCGCCATTTTGTGAAAATTTCCCGCGTTTTCCGCGACAGATAAGAAATTTAAAAAGTTGTGATCGTCATTTCGTTGGACAAAAGGGACATGCTACTTAAAATTTTACTGAATTTGTTGTGATTAAAATTAGCAAGTATAACTTATGAATATGAATTTTTGATACACGTGCATATTCACATGACACTGACCTGATGAATACATCGATTTATTATGATATGACATTCAGCCCCGGCCCTGCTTTTGGTCCTTGGCAGAGAACTATATGTATTTGGAAGAAAATAATAAACAACAGTGAAAGTCTAGGTGAAATCTGATGACTAAAGACATTTAGATCGAAACTTTCCCCTTGTCTACTTAGATTTATGGTTTCACCCGCATATTTTTCAAACACTAAAAGTTGTTATCAAATCGAAGGCTCCATAATATTAAAAACACATTAGCTATCAGTCGTGTATTCCTTTTACGCGCCGACAACAGCTATTTAAATTGTCAGTTAGGCTATTTTTTCACTGTTTAAAACCAAAACTTAACTTCAGTGGAGCACAAAAAAAGTTTGTATTGTTTTACCTGCCAGTGCTTTTAAATAGCAAAAAACTTTTTGCTGTTTTAAAAATAAATCTACTAAGTACAGATTACAAAACTTTGCGATGAAAAGAGTTCCTTGTGAAAAAAGTTTTAAGTCGTGCAAGCGAAAATGGTTCCAAGGCTGAGCGATGGCACTGACGAACCTTCGTTTGTTTCGCCCCATGAACTCTAACATGGGATGTACACATCGTCAGGCGACCCCCATGAGGGCCACACCATCGGCATTGGCAAGAAGCCTGTCCAAGTCTGCTGAGACGCTAGTAGCTACTACCAGAGGTGGTAAGTTATTTTTGTTTAACTTTTTAGTTAAAAACAAATGAAAATTCCTTTCAGAAAATTGCCATGCTCAACTCACATTTTACTTTAATGTTTCGGAAAAAGTAGAGTCGTTACACTTAAATTATTGTATTATTGTAGACTTTTAACTTAATATTGTACCACTTAATAATTGGCTTTAAAAAAAAATAAAACTGTTTTAAACTTCTTTGACAAAGTTAGTTCTGAATGACGTGGCGGCCGGTGGTTTATTTATTTAAATATTTTATGTCGGTGAAGTTTGAAAGTAAACTTTGAGGACATTTAATTTTTAATTAAGTAGTCATAATTTAAGGAGTTTTAAACCATTGAACTCACAAAAAGGACACAGTTCTTTAGACCTAGTTCACGTTCAGTTCGTTCGTTCGTTTCAGCCAAATGACACCCACTGCTGGATAATGGCCTCCGCCAAGGTTTTCCACAATGAACGGTCCTGCGCTGCCCGCATCCAAGCTCTTCCCGCGACCTTAACCAGATCGTCGGTCCACCAAGTAAGAGGCCTGCCCATGCTACGTCTTCGTCTTCCACGTCAGTAATAAACAGTTTCACTGTCAGAACCGCGACAGAACGTGTTCAAAAGGCTCTAAATATTTTGCGAAAAGTTACAGGACCATAATGGCTTTAACTGGTGAGCTCAAATTCGAAACTCCTTATTGCCTGTCATTGACCAAACCCTCAAAAGACAACTGTCTACAAGACCATAGATCCAGCATTGTTTCAGCCAAATGACGTCCACTGCTGACCAAAGGCCTACCCCAAGGATTTCCATAATGACCGGTCCTGCGCTATCCGCATCCAGATTTTTCCCACGACCTTCACCAGATTGTCGGTCCACTTAGTGGTGGGCCTGTCCACACTAAGTATTTATCTTTCGGCCCGTGGTTGATGCTCGAGAACTTTTCTGTCCCAACTGCCATCATCTCTACGAGATAATGAGTAATTTTAGCAATTCGGCGGGCTATGTCGGTCACTTCAAGACCATACAGAAATTAAACAGCTACCTTATTTTCAGGTAAAGAACTACGCACTCGCAAAGCCCGCAGCACCGAGCAGCCTGGTGCTGGTCTGGTGAAAGGCACCAGCTCGTTGGGACTCCCTGCGATTGGGAAGCACTGGGGAAGGGACGACGACAGCCTTGCCAGTGGGAGGAATGGGAGGTTGGTAGTGCTTTAAAACTATTTTTTCCATTTTAGGAAAAAAAAACTGTTGTGCTCATAAGAAAATCTATGCACCTCCTCCTCGCTTGTAACAGTGTTACTCGTTGGGAAAAAAATCCCACCCCAACAGTGTGACTGGTTTTGAACAAGCGGTACTCCTCATTAATCTCTCTAAAACTAATAGTTATACAACAATATACAATTATCTATCGATTTAGATTCAAAATCAATTAGTATTTAAATTAATCATTTTGTACGCCACTTTGGGACGTAGCGGAGCGATCACGAAATCCAAATTAATGACTGGTACATTGTCGAAAGGCACTGGTCTTAAAAAAATGAATTTCACACCCATATAGTGTAAAAATCTACACCTGAAATATTTAACGACAAACATCTTTATTTTCCGAGATTTCGAAGTTCCACGGAAGTGCGACATTCCGATCACTTATCTACATTCGAAACCAAAATTATACCCGCCTCTGAAAGCCATGGCCATGATTATTGCATGTTATCGTCCACCATTGACCCTTGACTCCTCACGCAACTACCTGCCTAGTATCAAACGGGGTTCAAGAGCATTATGTTTGGAAGGATTCTTGGAGATTTCCTGCATAACCTTAAATTAAATATTATCTAAAACTTAATTTGACAAATTAATTAATAGCATTTCCGCAAGATCGAACTCATAATTTTTGTATCTGAATTTTGAAATGGCAAGTTTTAATATCATTTAATAATGGGACCCAAATAGTTTCAAAAGTGACAACAAGAGTTTAAATGTATCGTAATTCAAAAATAAGTATCGTTGTAATAAGCATTATAATATGAATGAGAAAGTTATAAATAAAGTAAATATTGGCAGTAGGACTGTTTTTTATGTGATAGGTGGCAGACGGATCAATACGAACTTTTAGGCTCATTTCTTACGGAATTTCACCTATTCCAATCAACCTAACCGTTTCATAGATTATTCAAATAGTTTTCCCGCAATTTCGAGCTGTCAATCTCCGGTGACAGGACACGAGCCAACATGGCCTCCAAATGTCAAGGCCCAGCGGCCAGTGTTTAAAGGGTTTTATTTTTAATTTGCTCATTATAGTGTTATAGTCGTGGAACAATACGTTAACTTCTTTCTTGTTTATTAACTTTTCAGTTTATTTACACTGCTGTTTATAGTAGAACCTGTAATTATATGGTGTTACAAGTGTACTAAAACTCGATTTTTAATGACTTCCAAAACTTAGTCATAATAAAATTTTGTGCTGAAAAAAGAAAATTGATATTATAAGCTTTTCATTCTTCATTTTCCAAAATCTTTCAGTCAAATCAAAAATACATACTTTAGTTACTCATAAAAGTACCTACTTTAATACAGTGTGAGTCAAAGTCCCAAAATTCAAGGATAAGCCGGCGGCGCAGGGTGGACATAGTCATGACTGCTTTAGGAAAAATAAGAAAAAAAATCTATCTCAATTATTTTTTAAGTTACACAATAAAATTTACACCCCTTATGATATTTTACATTACCACGACCACAATTTTTCAAATACTTCTGTTTTTTTGTTTGTATCGGCAATTTAAGTAGTGCTGCTGTCCACCCCAATTCTTAAAACCCTCAGAATCGTTGCAGTTTTTACACAAAAGTTAATCAAAATATGATATTTCCCTAAAATTTTGAACGATTTTTACTTTCACTCCACTTTGACTCGTCGTTTTGTAAAAAAACAGTATGAACACTACTGCGGCAAGTTTTTTATAAAGTTGACGCAACTATATCCAAGATTCCAAAATGGTATAATACGCGTACCATTTTTACAAGCACTTCGCTTGTTAGTTAGTATGGGATAAATCTTGCAATTAAATTTAAAACCAGTTCTTCTCAACCAATTGAGCTAAAATTTGGTATACTTATGTAAGTACGATGACATTGCAATATTATGGTATCATTAAGCTGGATGGAGTCTGGAGGTGGCCATAGGAACTTCTAAACGAAACGGCGGAATTGCATCTAGTTTGGGTTCGTTGGATATCTTTTCGAGCACTTTAGTGCTAGATGATGTCCAGGGTCCTGATGATGAAGTCAAGAGGTGGCCAGGAGCTGGCCAAAGGAACTCCTAATCGAAATGGCGGAAGATTATCGAGTTTGGGTTCGTTGGATTTGACTTCCCGAGCACTTGGACCATGAGATTGAGAAACAACTAAAAAGTGTAAAATAAAGTTATAAAAAAAAAAAAACTTTTTTAAAAACAAGCATTAATGCGAAATTTTACGAAAGAATTTAACGATAAAAATAATTGTATGCAAGGTTCAAATAATTTCGAAAGTTTGTAGCGCAAACAGAAAAAAAGAGGAATAAATTCCATGCGCGATTATAACTTTATTTTAAACTTTTTAGTTGTTTCTCAATCTCATGGCCCAAGTGCCCGAGAAGACAAATCCAACGAACCCAAACTCGATAAGCTTCCACTATTTCGTTTAGGAGTTCCTATGGCCAGCTCCTGGCCACCTCTTGACTTCATCATCAGGATCCTGGACATCATCTAGCACCAAAGTGCTTGAAAAGACAAATCTAACGAACCTAAACTAGATGCAATTCCGCCGTTTCATTTAGAAGTTCCTATGGCCACCTCCAGACTCCATCCAGCTCAATGATACCATAATATTGCATTGTCATCGTACTTACATAAGTATACCAAATTTCAGCTCAATTGGTTGAGGAGAACTGGTTTTAAATTTAGTTGCAAGATTTATCCCATACTAACTAACAAGCGAAGTGCTTGTAAAAATGGTACGCATATCTTTTTTGCGACTAGTTTTCTTAGAGTATTATACCATTTTGGAATCTTGGATAGTTGCGTCAACTTTATAATAAACTTGCCGCAGTAGTGTTCATACTGTTTTTTTACAAAACGACGAGTCAAAGTGGAGTGAAAGTAAAAATCGTTCAAAATTTTAAGGAAATATCATATTTTGATTAACTTTTGTGTAAAAACTGCAAGGATTCTGAGGGTTTTAAGAATTGGGGTGGACAGCAGCACTACTTAAGTTGTCAATACAAACAAAAAAACACAAGTATTTGAAAAATTTTAGTCGTGGTAATGTAAAATATCATAAGGGGTGTCAATTTTCGACGAATTTCATAATTTATTGTGTAACTTAAAAAATAATTGAGATAGATTTTTTTTCTTATTTTTCCTAAAGTAGTCATGACTATGTCCATCCTGCGGCGCCGGCTTATCCTTGAATTTTGGGACACGTTGTATATGAAACTAGATGAAACTGAACCTATTTTTATCGACAAAAAAAGAGGTCAAAAAATTTTTGAGTTTTTTTTAAATTTTTTTTCTTCCAATTACTTATTGTAAAGAAAACGTAATAACTTTTAAACTAAGCGGTATATCCTGATAAAATAAAAACAGTAATAATGATAAATAATAGGCGATACTAATAAAATACATAAAATACACAAAAAATGCCAAAAAATGATACTTTTTGAAAAAAATCTGCTTTTAAATTCGTGTTTATTTGGTTATTTGATAAATTTATCTAAAAATGCCCCTATAACAGGTGGCTTTTATGACTTTGTATTATTCTCAATCGTATTATCTTTGTAAAACCAAAAATCGCATGTCTCTATCCCTATCACAACATTTGCTATGATCGTTTGAACAAAGGCCTGCCACAACATTATTCTCCGCCACAGGTAGTGACAATTTTAATTTTAACTAAAATGCTTATTTTACTTCGAAATCTTTTGTTTTTATTTGAAATCTAACTTGTCTTTATCAAAATTACAAATCTAGAGCCATTTTCAGTTTCGTTGTTAACGAAGCGTTGAATGGCGCGCCCGGAGAGGCTTAGTTCAAACGATCATTGCAAACATTGTGATAGGGATAGAGACATGCGATTATTGGTTTTACGAAGGTATACGATAGAGAATAATACAAAGTAATAAAAACTACCTGTTATAGGGACATTTTTTGGAGAAATTTATCAAATAACCAAAAAAACGCGAATTTAAAAGCAGATTTTTTTCAAAAAGTATCATTTTTTATTATTTGTTGGCCTTTTTTGTATATTTTATGTATTTTTTTAGTATTGCCTGTTATTTAGCATTATTACTGTTTTTATTTTATCATGATATACCGCTTAGTTTAAAAGTTATTACGTTTTCTTTACAATAAGTAATTGGAAGAAAAAAAATTCTATAATTTTTTTTAAAAAACCCCAAAAAATTTTGACCTCTTTTTTGTCGATAAAAATAGGTCTAGTTTCATCTATTTTTATATGTACACTTTAACGTGACTCACACTGTATAATACATAAGTGAAGCTACGGTTTAGGTCTAGTTTTCAGTTAAATTTAAATAACAAAAACACCAGTATCAGTAACAAAACGTTTGCCTACAAATTGCTGCTATAAAAATAGCTCGAACGATATGAAATTGGTCAATTTGATATTCAGTCCATTCAGAAGGACTTTCATTGGTTTTTATCAAATATAGGTCGTTTATTCGATCTAGCTAGAGTGAAGGTAATATAATGAATTGTATTCCAAAGCTAGCGCGTTCATTCATTCGTGTACGAGTAAATTAATAATTCCATAGGTCCACACTTTGAATTGACCATTGTCTGTTTTATTAAGCTATTAATATGAACAATACGGTGGGCTAATTTTATTTTAAATTAACCCAAGAAAAAATATTATTTATGGGCATGGGCTGATATTTCAATCGTCAGGAAATATGTCAAAATGACTAGCCCCCCTAGACAAAACGCACTTTTTGATCGAATCGAAAATCGAATCCGTCAAAACTCCATACAAAAAAGGGGCTTTTCGACCACTTTTCGACTGGTTTGCGATTATAATTTGCACTTTGTCTAGACCCAAAGGTTATTCTTCAGTTAAAAGTTATCCGAACATAAAAACTTAAACTTTTTACAGTGTAGCAGTGCTCGCTTCTAGAACTTAAAATTACTGTTTCAATAGAGAGTTTTAAGGTTTTGCAAATTGACCTCTTTTGACCTTACAGAATAAATATGGCTGCGTCTAATCAAACTCTAGAAAGGGTTGATTTTTTTCTAACCACCAAAATGGCAATTTGGTTCAAGGCTTGGCTGAAAAGAATCCATTACCAATCTGAATGGGGCTTCGGATAGGCTTCAGCATTGTGAGAATAATTGGAAGTGTTGCTACTTCGGTAATGTATCTCTACAATTTTTGTAGTGTCGATGACTCTATTTTACTAACTTAATTCAAACTTGCAGAATGATTTTTTATTAGTTTTATTTCAATAACAATTCAGTTTTAAGAACTTTTTTTTTATGCATAACAAGGCAGATATTAAAAATTGACCACAAACGCACCTGATGTTAAGTGGGATGCAGTCCAGAATGGTACATTATCTGCCCTTTAAGTGCCTATTCACTCTCGCCTTGAAAACGCCCGGATTATAGTGTCGATGACTCTATTTTACTAACTTAATTCAAACTTGCAGAATGATTTTTTATTAGTTTTATTTCAATAACAATTCAGTTTTAAGAACTTTTTTTTTATGCATAACAAGGCAGATATTAAAAATTGACCACAAACGCACCTGATGTTAAGTGGGATGCAGTCCAGAATGGTACATTATCTGCCCTTTAAGTGCCTATTCACTCTCGCCTTGAAAACGCCCGGATTATTCGGGAAAGACAGCAGCAGGCAATGAATTCCAGTTCCTAGCTGTTGGTGGTTTAACTAACTTTTACTTGGGTGGTTTAAGTACCTACATGTACATAGTTCTACTAAAAGTAGTTAGGAGCAATATCCTTGACGAGGCGTCGAGTAAGAGACCCAGAATAGGGAATTGATACATCAAATCAAAACTTAACCAATCGATTTGTTACCTACTCAAGAGAAACATGTACCATTTGAATCTGTCACCTTAATGGATCTCTGGAAAATAAAGATCTAAGTCGTTAACGTATTGATTTATCAATTGATACACTTTTCTGCAATAAGTGCTTACTGCTTAGAGTTAGTTCCTTATTCTTTTCTTGATAGGCAAATTAGTTTAGCAGGGTCAAAGTCAGGGTCAATCAAGGATTACGCATATTACTTAGAACCGAATTATTCACGGGGCGTCAAGTGGTGAAACGGGCACGCAATCTTGGCATATATTACATTATATACCTGAGTGGAGACTCAGCGAAATTTCAGGCTCTTTAGCGAAACCGTGAATCATGATTGGTTGGTCACGCAACTAGGACGGACGGAATCTTGAATTAAATAGATAAAACTTAGATGGTTAATCCTGTAATTAATTGCTAGGTAAGGTTCATGTAGAGGAAAAAAAGCTACATAAAATATTGGTTTAAAATTGATTATATAAATACGTAGGTACAGTGGAAAAAATAAGGTAGGAAATATTGGCTTAAAATTGGCTCCATTTACGCCTCCTATTCAATTAAAACTGCCATTATTCGTTATTACATATTACTAACTGCTATTAGGAATTTGATTAGGTCATGAATATAGCAGGTGTTTGTAATTGGACAAAAGTTTAGTGAATGTGTGGGAGGGAGTATATTTTCAAACCAACATTTAATTAAATATGTAGATATGAACCTTTAGTCCTATGAATGAATGGGTGAACAAATGAAATAAAAGTTTAGTACATAAGTATAGAATTTGATACTGATCCATAAAAGGTGACGGTTCCTATAAACTTTTTTGAAAGATTAGTTCATTTAATTAGTTTTATATCGAATAGCTATTTGTATCGAAATAGTTTGTTTTAATTACCTACATGTAATTTAGATAGAGCTAAGTACTAGAGCTATAATAATATGTAGGCTTAAGGGAAGCGGGAAATGCGGGGCCGGTTCCTTGTGAAAAATCTTGGTGGAGACTTTTCCCAGCAGTATTTATAATAACCGGCAGACAGTGGTGACCGAGTTTGTTGCGGCGCTTCTTCTCAGCACTTGCCAAATGTTGGTCTTGAAGCGCTGGTAGGGTAAAAAGATTATGAGACATGTAGAGGCTAGAGAGCAAAATATTTGACGATTTGTAAGTACCTACTTATTTATTAATTTATAAAGAATTTTACAAATAAAGAATTTTTGACTTTAACTTTAGTGGACGTCTTTCAGTTGAAAAGGGTATAAGAACAAACACCCTTACATAACCTGAAAAGGTAAAACATGTTTCGAAGCTAATAACATCTTAGTTTATCCATATTCCCCCATTAGCTTTCAAAATATTATCACATCAGTTACAGTAATAAACCAATCAGTCTTATTGGTCAGCAATCGGATCGATCAGCGCCCACATAAGCGAAGACAATCATCTGTACAAACAATGCAGTTTTTATAATGGCCGGACCTTGACTATTCCGCTTTGAAGTTTGAACATAACTGCTGATTGCCCTTATGAATATCTAATGCATTTCTTGTATAACCAAGGAACTGGGTTAAATAAATAGTCTTTCCCCCGGTTGCTGAAGTGATATTTTAGCTTGAACGCGCACATCTTCTACTTAGGTATGAATTTTATATGAAATAATTTTTTCGTCAGGAAATGCATGAAATTGCATACCCCGGGGTAACCAGTGGGTTATGTGAGGCTCTTTCTGCAAGATGGGCAGGGCCTACTCACTAAAACCTGACGGTGTCCTCCCAAAGTCTTCGGGACGGAGCTGCGAGTTATTGTCCGAGCTAGAGCTAGACGGTCTAGCTAGACATTCTTTCGCGGCTCCGCCCCAGATGAAAAGAAACCAAGCCTTAGGCCGTATTCTAAAACGATATTTAAAGCTCGATTCAAACTCAAAAGGACAGGTACAGATTCAAGGTTCTGTTTAGAGATGCCGCTCTATACTTCACTATCCATTGTCCACCAAAAGTCAAGCTAATGCCCAGATATCACCTGGCACGTAGAGTAAATGGGGTGGTACAAAAGATCCCATGGGTTGGAGTGATCTATTGTTGTTTCAGCCGAAAGACGTCCACTACTGGACAAAGGCCTCCCCCAAGGATTTCCACAAAGACCGGTCCTGCGCCGCTTGCATCCAGGCACCTCCCGCGACCTTCACCAGAACGTCGGTCCACCTAGTGGGAGGCCTGCCGTACATCTTCCGACTCGTGGTCGCCACTTAAGAACTTTCCTGCCCCAGCGGCCATCAGCTCTTCGAGCTATGTGCCCCGCCCACTGCCACTTGATTTTAGCGATTGGCTATGTCAGTCACTGTGGTTCTCCTACGTAATAGTGATCTATGCTAAGGTATTTTCCTCTCAATATGATATAGAACAACAGAAGGTGGACAGAAGACCTATAAAGTTTGCAGAAAAGCTGATTGATGCGGGCTTTTAACCGGCAAACTCGATGATGTTGTCTTAATTTCCACTCTTATCCATTGGTCAAATCCATAACGGATTATACATATTCCACTATTGAAGCCTCGTCAAGTGGAAGTCTGTGATGATGATAATTAATTTGAGCATTTCTACAGCGGCAGCAGTCGTGCTGGCAGCGTGGACCGGAGTACCACACGCGGCTCCAGCACTACCCTCAACGGGGATGAAGACAATATCAATGTGGTTGTCAGGTAAGAATATAATACGAGTTTAAGTAATCTCAACAAACAAACAGCAACGTAATCGCTTTCATCATAGTGGGATCATCATCATCATCATCATTTCAGCCACAGGACGTCCACTGCTGAACATAGGCCTCCCCCAATGACTTCCACATCGCACGGTTGGTAGCGGCCTGCATCCAGCGCATTCCTGCTACCTTTATCAGGTCGTCGGTCCACCTTGTGGGTGGACGTCCCACGCTTCGTTTTCCGGTACGTGGCCTCCATAGTGGGATAATACCTAATAATCTTTATTGTATACCACACAATACTGGCAAGTAAGTAGAATGAATTGCAATACAACATTGAAAGGCAAAGTTTAAGCAATCATAATGTTGGAATATAATCTCTTGCAGGCAAAACAAGGATAGAATGTTGTTTGAGATAAAATGGGAAAGGAATTAAATAAATCATGAAGTAGGTCATTTTAATTCTATTTATAAGAATGACACTGAATTCAATATTACAAATTCTTATTATCATAAACATAATTATCTCACAAGTTTTTATAAGAAATGATAAGATTTTGTAACCCCACGTTGGGCGCCAAAAGTTGTTTTGATATCTACGTGTCTAGTATTAGTTAACTAGAATTACACTGCATTCAATATTACAAATTCTTATTATCATAAACATAACTATCTCACAAGTTTTTAAGATAAATGTTAGGACTTACTAACCCCACGTTGGGCGCCAAAATGTTGTTTTAATATCTAGGCGTCAAGTATTAGTTAATTGAGTTTAGAAAGTCTACACAGGTAAACTTTAACAATATCAATCACATTCCGAGTAGGCAACCACCTAATATACGAGTAAGTAATTAAAAAACGATAATTATTTATTTCAATAGCTATGAACGTTTGTTGCGGGTTGTTGACATTCTTTTGATAATAAATCGATATCCATTTCAATGGAGTCACATCCGCTATGACAGACAGCATAGCGTTTAGTGGGTGTAAGGTTTTTTCAAAGCTAAAGAAGTGTATAATACCTAACTAAACTAAAGAAAAAAAAAATAAACAAGCACACTCACGAATATAGGCATCAACCCTAGTTTAACGTCTTCGGAACCTACTAAGAAATAAATACTGGTTCTGTAGATTACTATAGGTTGAAAAAATAGTATTAAATGGTGGTGAAAATCAAACATCGATTGTATAAATCAAGAAAACATTCAAAAGAACTACCTAACTTACATTATGTTTTATCATTAGCACTATTTTAAGCTAGGTTAAATTAGACTCAAAATATTAGTAGATACCTACCTACTAAATCTTTAGGTCCTACTCTAAAAGTTTTAACTACTTAGATCCTCGACATATTAATTGTTTTTGTTTGAAAGGTCAGAATCTATTGGCACGTTCTAACGATTACTATTTCATTATTAAAAGTCAATTTTACTACTAACATCCGTTGTAGATGGTAGGTACAGATTAACATGAATGACTGACAGTGTCTAATTCTATTGTTTTTATTTCATACCGAAACACCAACGTTGTTTTGATATATGGAAGAATATCTAATGAATTGGAAAACCATTAATGTCAATTTCTAAAGGAGCTTACATTAAGGTAGTATTAATCTTCTCAAATAATAATTGAACAGTAAATTATTAGCTACAAAATTGTAAGACAGGCCTATGAGTATAAGGTTATTTTTACCTACTTTATTATCAATCCTTATGACTAGGAGTATTAACAATAAGTACTAATTTTATTATTATGTAACAGTAGTAGGTACGCCCTAGGTAGGAGTAAATCTATACTAATATTATAAATGCGAAAGTAACTGTCTGTCTGTCTGTCTTGCTTTCACGTATAAACCACTGAACAGATTTTGATGAAATTTGACATAGAGATAGAGAGAGTCCCAGGAAAGGACATAGGATAGTTTTAATTCCGGTTTTTGAAACGAACGCGCGTGATAAAGTTTTTCTGTGACAGACAAAATTCCACGTGGGCGAAGCCGCGGGCGGAAAGCTAGTAATTAATATAACCAAGAGTATAACAATTAATTATGTACATAGTCACTTAGTAGGACTCTAGTAGTCTGTAGTAGTGAATAAATTAAGTCAATTATGTTTCCCAATTATTGAAGGCCTATGGTAATAGCTAATGAAGGACTCGTCTAACATTATGACGTATTTAAATTGCCCAGTAATTATCTTTCGATAATAACTAACATTAAAAATAAAATCAATAACGTTTATTGTTTTAAAAATCAATTGCTCAATGTCATGATCGGTTCTGTGAAATGAAAGAATGTCTGGCTTAAGTTAAATACTAACTGAGGTCTAAAGAAATATCATTGATGATCCAGAATAGGTATGTACCTACCTACCTACAAATTTTTCATGAATTCAGAAAAGTAATTATTTTTTATTCATAAATATTTTATGAAAACAACTCTTATCACAGTTGATTTTTATCAAACCAAACCATTAATCTTTTTTGCAAAGTACCTAAATAAAATTAAAATTACCTACTCAGAGAAACATGACTCATAGACGCTACAAAATATATCTATAGTTAAAAGTCAAATGACTTCTATTAATATACCAATATCATGGTTTTGATCCACAGAATACGTCCCCTCAACGACAAAGAGAAGGGCACAGGTGAACAGGAGGTCCTTGAATTTCCTGGCAAGGGGCAGGTGATCTGCCACACCATGACACCTGGCCAGAAGCCCAAGGTGTTCTCCTATAACGTCGTCTTCGAGCCGGCTGCGACACAGGTTCGTACCTTGTACAGGTTCAGTTTTGTCGATCCTGGGTTCGATTACCACGTTGGACACAAATGTTTACAACTATCGTTATTAGGTTTCAGACTTTATGTCATCCTGTAACTGTTACAGGATGACATAAAGTCTGAAACCTAGGGTAGGTCTACATACCACTATGATGACTATCGTGAATAATAGAAGAAGCAGGAAATCTATGATAAGTACACGAATATAGAAGAAAAGGATTACTTGAAACTACTGTCAGAGCTGGAGAGAATAAATGCCTTGACACCTGCTGTTTAAGTTCTGTTATATCACCGAAACAAAATTCTCGATTAGTCTGAGAAAGCCATTCAAAATCCGAATAGGTACTCGTAGTTACCCAATTAGGTACCTATAGCTACCATTACCCTCTGACTATATTATATTACAACACTACTCCTATTTTTTAGGAAGACGTATTAGAATATTCTGGAGTGAAGAGGCTGCTCGAGATGGCAGTGGAAGGTTTCTCCTGCACAGCCTTCTGCTACGGGCAGACAGGGAGCGGGAAGACACACACCCTCACTGGACCTCCAGGACTGGTGAGTCAGCCTTCCTGACCAAGCTTTCCTATTTTGAGAAGCTTTCTTTACCAGACGCCTGTAAAACTGTTTAATCGTGTCTTATTCTTAGTTTTCGATAAGTTTCAAAATAAAGATACGTTACAAGCAGATGGAATACATAATGGAAAAAATGATATCCGGCTCGAAGAACCAAGTTGTAGCTTACAAAGGTAGAACTTATAGAGTGCCTCTTTAGGAGTAACTTTGACGCGTACAATATGTGTAGAAGAAACCAAATGGCATTTACTATGTAAAGCAAGTTTTTAGTTTGTATCAAAATGTAGGTTTTGAAACACCGTTAAATGTAAATGTAACGAACAACTAACCTAATAGCTCACCAATTAATCGTAGCTACGGCTACAACGTAAATTTTATAAACGCGTGTGTTTACATTGTAGAAGAGATTATTATAGCGAGCACTAACGAGCACCAATTACGTCTAATAACAATTTATAAAAATTATGATGACCGACGGTAAGGACTGGCGGCGAAGTGGTATCGATTTTGAATTATGACAGTCTCTACATACTGAATAGAATAGATGGATAGATATCGAGAATATCGGCGCAGACACGTATAGGAAATGAAGAACAGATCTAAATAGTTTTTAAAACCATCCAATATGCATATTATCAGCTCCATCGTAAGAGCATTATTATTACCTACATTATTTTATGCCCAAAGCAAAACCATGACAGCGAAACTCTACCAAAACATTACTATGTTCACACTTTCGTTCAAAAACAGTCTAGGGCCTACTTATCAGCAAATGGTGATATTCTACTGAACTTTATCGACAATTTTAGGATATTTGGAAAAATCTAATTTATTTTTATAGTTTACTGGTAGTTGTTTACATAAGCCATGTTAAACAAACTTTTATGATGACATTAAAATGTGCTTAACAGCTTGTTGCTAGGGTTATTAAACTCCTACACGATAGAATATTTTTATTGTAACGACTGCCAAATACTTTTCTTATGATTTATTGATAGTTGTTAAATTGATGTTTATTTTGTACCTTCTATACTTAGTAAATGAAACAACTTTTCACGGCAGTAAACTAATGAACCAAATATTAATTGACGTTCTGACAAGAAAGACGTATTGTCCAGAATATACACTCAGTCCCGTTGTAATGATGGGTTAAAAATACATCCTATTAATGATACTGGCTTCTACGAAAACTTGATACCAATTTTTTCGTTGAAGAAAGATAATTTAGCTCCTATCAAATCAATCATAGTAATTAGTTTCTGAACCAACTTACCTACTTAAGTTACTGTAACCACCCCATAATGGTCTAGAGCCCACCTCAGGATGTTGGGATACCGATGATATTACTCAATACACTAATGAGCTACACGAAAAACCATCGGGCATGTCAGGTCTCTCCCCCTCTGAAAAATTTTCCTACATACGCCAATAAATACGCTAATGAAAGTCTTGACTTACTTGAATTTGTAATCTGCAGGTTCTTCATGATTGCAGGCGAAACACTGAAGTACTGCAATAATTTTATAGTTGTTCAACTACTTCTTCCATTTTAAAAATAATTAATTAACACCATTTTCGAAGAGCACGTCTTGCCCGGCAGAATGTTGATAAAATGAATGCAATCAACTTATTCAATGCGGGTAGTACCATAGCTATTTCTATAGCGAAAGTAGGGTATTAGCTCTCACAGTGATTATGTCATGATTCAAGTAGTTACTTAGTTAGAGAAATACCCACATGTGCTGCCAAGGAAATTCCATTCATTCATTCCCATTCACTCATGAGCCTATCTGGCAGAATAAATATTTAAAAAACATAACCCACCTTCCGTTGCAGTCGAGTAATACTCGTTCATGTCGTTTTAAAAGTGTGATATTATGAAATGACCCGCATCGCGTGTCACCCGCGTGACGGGTGGTTTGTCGGACTACCTACAATCATTTTCATTAGGTATGTTGTCCGTTGTCCGTGACTGACGATTTGTTCCCGCGGCAATAAATCACGATCCATAGACGCAATCACCGTTATGAATATGAGCTTGTGATTGTAGATGTTACATACATCAATCATTGGTTTTATCATTAGTAGGTAGGTAGCGTTAATAACGCGTCCTTGTATGTAACCTTGCGGCTTGCAATAGCTGAAAATAAACCCATTGTCGTTTTCATGTCTTAATCATAATATTAATTTATGATAAGTAATCCTTCCCATCGAGGATTTTATCGTATCATCATCATCTCAGCCACAGGACGTCCACTGCTGAACATAGGCATCCCCCAACGATTTCTTTATTGACCGGTTAGTAGCGACCTGCGTCCAGCGCCTTCCTGCTACCTTTATGAAGTTACGCTGCGTTTTTTACGTAGCCTCCGATCCAGAACCTTGCTGCCTCATCGGCCTTAAGTTCTGCGTACTATGTGCCCATTGTCACTTCAGCTTGCTAATCCGCTGAGCTGAGCAATGCCTGTATGTAATCCTACCGGCTTAACTTTTTAGATTTGATTTTCAGCATTAATACATCATTACAATACTGCATCACTGACTTGACGAGCATTTATTTGCCTGTAACGCATTTCAGATTCGTCTCTTACGCTGGGTTGCGTCATCTTACCATTATCATTATAGTTACGGTTAAAGTTTAAAGTTAGGTGGAACAACTCAGCTTTACACGAGTAGATTTAAGACCCACTATTCTAATTAAACGTCCATGAAAATAAACACGGAACACATAAAAGTTCATTAATATCATACAAAAAACACCGACATTAGTAAAAGGTAACACAAACCATTAAAAACTTAAAGCAATCAATATTTACTGTCAATTTCGAAGAACTTTAGTGATAAGAATCTAAACACTGATTACAGCTAAAGTTTAGTAAATAAACGATTAATAATTCAAAAAGCTATAAAATACTGCCAATCGATTGATAACACAAAACACTTTCGCCTGATTGCCGGGTTGTAACTATAGAAAAATAATTATTTTTATGGAACCCCATTTCACAGGACATGTGACTATGACATACCAAGGTCGCCAAATCAAGGTGTTGTAAAACCAATAATACCTAATACTTAACTACGTGTCCTTGGAATTGATTCTAGCTGTCAAGAGAAAAATAAAGTCGAGTTTTTCTCATACAAAATATGAATAGGTAATGTTATTTACCTACTTACCTAAATATTTATTGTAGGCAGCTGCAGCAGGTAGCCTATACTAAACAAAACAGGCACATAAAAGAATTACTAAATCGGCCTCACCTCAGTAAGGCCCGGTTTCTTCCACTGTATAGTCTGGTCTGCGAGCACGTAGAATTTTGTCCAATGACCCCAAGCTGCCCATCCTTATCGCTTACGCGTAATGATATTGCTGTCGCGACTGTGCGACGGGCGCCCGCAGTGAGTGTGCGAGCACGATAGCAACCTAAAAATTCTACGTTCTCACAGACCGGGCTTTAGAAAGCTTTCGTTTTGAATGCATTTGCTCCCGGCGGGATTCGAAACCGAAGATTAAATGGTGTACTGCTATAGTAGCGCAGCTGGTCGTATCTAGCTGGGCCATTCTTATTCTTACGCATTTTTGTGTGAGATGTAAGAATAGCATATGTATTTAAAGAAAATCAGTGCACTGTATATTAATTTACTTAGTAAAATACCTCTATTAACTAGACCCAATATCATTTTTATCATAAAACTATTAGAAGAATATTTAAAAAAAGTTACAAGTCCAAAATGTCACGGACCGTGTAGTGTGAGATTCCCGGATTTGGACATACCTACAATATTTTTTTCTGAAGAGATGTTATGTTATTCTGATAAATATTACAGTAATTATGCAAGATTAATACATGTTATATAAGACTGTTAAAAATTAATATCAATAATAATTACCATTTTTTATTTTGAACACCAAACATTGTGTGAGCAGTTTTTGTGTCACAACCACGTGCGCCACTTTAAATATGCGTAACTCGGTAAAAAACTATCTTTGATATTGACATCCCTTGCTAAGTTTTTTTAGAACAGTAACATTGTCATCTTATTAGATTTGCAAATGGCTGAACGTAGTGAGTGAGCCGCAAAAAATTATTTCCTATTTATTTGAAAAAAGGGACAACCATAACACGTCCATCCCGTGTACGGTTTTTAAAGGTAGGTATCAATGTCACGCTATTGTATAAAACATAATTATGTACCTCATGCAGTATAGTTTCAGATAATTGCACAAGATCTGCTAATTCACAGATAGTTTTTTGGATATATCGGACACGTTCCAAATTGTCACGGCCATGGTATTAAAAATGTGTCACTACCGCAAACTATTTAAGTACATGGTCGTGACATTACAACGCGTGGTTGTGACATTCTATTTTTATTATTTTAATAGTTTTTGTTGTTCTGCTAAATTATTTTGTGTATAGTGCAATTTTTAGGAGTAGCCTTTTAGTAAGTGTACTTATTTTTCGCTAGTATGATTTTCTAGATGCCACGATGGAAAAATTATTGCACTTTCTCATTTCTGCAGTAATATCAAATTTTACTGAGACAGCTCCCGGTAAAGGCCCTGCAGAGGTGGTCGGAGTTGTTTTAAAAGGAATTGCTATAAACCATATTTTTAGTGGTACGGTGACTATGAAACATGTTTAAGTTGTCAAAACCAACTGTTATGTGAATCCTGCAGAAATCTCATTTGATACTCAATTAGGTACCTACTGTGTTTAAGATTTACTAATTTGTTAAGCATATTATCATATCGAAACCATGTAGGTAGCATATCGGAAGCATGATCAGATAGTGCCAATAATAAAAAGTCTATTTTTTTATTATCTAGTAGATATATTAACTACCTGACGGTATTTTAGATCTCAATTTTAATTAAATTTTTGGATGTTCAGAAAAAAGTACATATTACCAAATAACACCTTTGTTGATGAAACGAATTTAGTGTATTTTATTGTTAATCAATTTAAACTATTATGATATAAATTTAACAACATAAATATTATTATTTACAGTAAAAATGTAAAACTGTCACATCCGTGTCATGCAGTGTCACAGCCGTGTTTACATAGGCTATTTTGTTTCCTTTCCGAGGGCTTTAAGGTTGTCCATATACATCAAAAGTATGCTTTTGGTTTATACTTTCGATACACATCGCAAAAAGTTAAAAAAAAATTTATTTAATTTAAAAAAAAAATTGGCACAAATTTAAGAATGGCCCAGCTACCTCAATAACTTCTGGTTACTTCTTTTAACATAACATTATAACATTATTTGTATTGTATTGCTGTTGGTTTTCCGAATAATATAAAATAAAATAAATAAAATAAACATTAAAATTCTTACAGGTAGAGAGAGGCACGAGTCCTTACTCCCCAGAGCACGGCCTGGTGGTGCGCTCCTTCGTGTACCTGTTCCAGCTCATACAAGAGCGGCCTGAATGCCACTTCATCCTCAAGGCTTCCTTCTTGGAGATATACAATGAAAAGGTGAGTGAACGAGCGCCGAACGGTAAAGGGGTCGGACTGGCCGACTCGTAATCTGAGCAATACGGGTCGAACCCCGCCGCCGCTCGACTATTGTGGTGAGCCCAAACGTAACACAAGCATATTTTAGCTTACCACGAGAGGCTAACGGTTTAATTAGTAATTTGTGCAATACAAATAACTAATATTGTTATTAAAAAAATCTTCGTTATTCGATCGAGGCGAAGATGTCTGACTGATAAATGCATGATGATTATTTCTAAAAAACTTCAGATCAGACTCCAGACTTCTACCCAAGACATGCGGAAAATGTGGAAAGCAGGAAGGTCCAATTAAAATCCCAAGATGATTGCAGTTTCAGTTAGAGGTTCAGTTTTAGTTTAGCTGTGAAAATTATGAATTTAAGTAGGGGTAGGTAGTTTATGCCATATTGACATGAAGAAATATGATACCCCAAGATGCAATAAATGAATAAGAAACTAATGGTTCCAGGTGATTGATCTACTGAACCCTGGCAGCGCGCGGAAACCGCTCCAGGTGCGGTGGTCAAAGGAGAGCAGAAGTTTCTACGTGGAAAACCTGTTCACAGTAGATTGCGAGCAGCTGGATGACTTGTTTGCTGTTCTGGAAGAAGGTAGGTATACATCTACAAACAGTGGCGGCAGTCGGCCCCGGGTGCCAAGCATTAGGGGGTGATAATGGGGCGACAACTCAGTCGTGCAGATTAGTAGCCAATGGCGCATCTGCACGTTAAGGACAAGGGGCAGGACCATTAGCGTGTCATTTTCCACGGGGGGCTTGGCCCCTGATATAAAATGATACGGAGAACTCCATACTTAGATGTGGTAACTTAGAAATCCTTTTTTCAGGGCTGATAAGCTATAAAATGATGTTGACTGTCCAACCACTAGACCTTGTAGCGGCCTTACAGCTTTTGCAGTCCTATTTTATAGAACAGATACGTTCTCTACGATGTAATTTCTCCAGGAAGACCTTTATTGTTTTCTTTGGAAAATAACCTTCATTGAGTGGTGGAGACTTTCTATCCCTCTCTCTTTCTCTCCCCAGGCATGAAGAACCGCGCGGTAGGCGCGCACGCGATGAACGCGCACTCCTCTCGCTCGCACACGTTACTAAGCGTGCGCGTGCGCCGCGACCTGCGCGCCGACGCCAAGATCACGTGCTCGACTCATGGCAAGATCAACTTCGTGGACCTGGCCGGCAGCGAGATGACGAAGAAGACTCACAGCACGGGGAAAACGCTTGAAGAGGCCAATAATATAAACAGGAGTCTTATGGTTTTAGGTGAGTCTATTAGCCTGGGTTGGTACTTGGTAATTGCAGGCCGATAGGCAAGAACAACAAAACTGATGAAGGTGCTGGAAGAGCAGTAATATGCGTTGAAAAAGTATATCTATCATACATTAACAGTTCTACGTGGGCTGAATTTATGGATAAAATGGATGAATGTGGAGGAATGCAGAAGTCTGTTTCCGAGGCCAATACTTCACAAACCAGGTATAAACAAAGTAATACTATCTACATTTTAAGACCATGGGGAAATATAATTTATGTTTCAGGTTACTGTATAGCACAACTCAGCGACGGAAAGAAAAGAGGCCATATCCCATACCGGGACAGCAAGCTGACGAAACTTCTAGCCGACAGTCTTGCCGGGAACGGAGTCACATTGATGGTAAGAGTTTCAAACTAGCTCAAAGACTCGTAGCTGCTGCCTTGAAACTTTTGTTTAACGTCGGGAAATGCTTTGTGCATACCCGCTAGTTGATGAGGACGGCCAGTGGGTTATGTGGGACTCTCCCCGCCTGTTCAGTAAAGGCGGAGCCTACCCACTAAAACCCGACGGTATCCACCGGAGCCCAATGAAATAGAGCCGCGAGTTATTGTCCTAACTTGGACATTCGTCCTCAGCTAGCTGCCTTGAATCTGGTCAAACGAATCTATCAAAATAAAACTTGTTCCAGATCGCGTGCATAGCCCCAACGAGATCAAACATCAGCGAAACCATCAACACTCTTCGATACGCCTCTAGAGCTAAGAAGATTAAATCCAAACCTATAGTCAAAATGGTAAGATCACTTCTTGAACTTCAATCTTAACCAAATTGAGAAAAATTATAAAGAAGCCAGGTTTTCCACCGCGAGCGGAGCGAGTAACCACTCCGTTTAACTTGCAATACAAATTGCTTACGAGTACATCTGTTTCCACCAACAAAGAGTCGTGCGAAAATGTAATAAAGAGGACAAAGTGTAAAAATAAGCCCGTTCATCAAATAACGCACATCAAAAACCGCACTCTTTCTAGGTGGAAAAGCAATCCTATTTTACACGAACACGTGAACTGTACACGACGAATACCGCTACTCTAACGCTAGACATCCCTAGTTCATTCCTCATTCTTCTTTGGCGGTGGAAAACGGGTTTCAGTAATGATGGTTGATAATTTCAGGATGCGAGAGACGCTCTAATACTGAGCTTGAAGAGGGAAGTGGAGGCTTTGCAGACGGAAAACGAACACCTCAGGACGGCGTTACACGTGCAGACAGATTATACTTTGGATAGTTACAGTAAGTACATGAACGTCATTCCCATCTACTCTCTTCGAACTTGCCACCGGGGTGGTGGTTGACTAGGATTTACTAGAACTAGGATTGACCTTCCAGGACACTTTGAAGTACCTAAGCCTGAAGACCTAACACTATTGTGCTCATCAGTCTATCTTCGTCCACACAGCTAAATATGTATTGTGTAGCAAGCCTGCCTCAATGACCTTTAATTTTTCCGACATGAAATAGATTCTGAAACTATAAGTAGGTAGGTAGTTTCAGAGTAAACAACAAAGAATCCATTTATACTTTAAACAAAAGTATAAATCATTTCAGTTTGTATTTGAACAGGTTGAAACAAATGATTGGCCCAAATATTTATTTAGCAGCATTACGATTTGCAGCTATTTAAAGCTACTTTTTTTCGTCTTCAGCGTGTAGCCTCCATAGCTCAGGGGTTAGAGCACTGGTCTTGTAAACCAGGGGTCGAGAGTTCAAATCTCTCTGGAGGCAGGAATCGATTTATTTTATTAATTACTTTTCTTGTTTAATACCGTTAAGATTTGCAGCTATTTAAAGCTACTTTTTCGTCATCAGTGTGTAGCCTCCATAGCTCAGGGGTTAGAGCACTGGTCTTGTAAACCAGGGGTCGAGAGTTCAAATCTCTCTGGAGGCAGGAATCGATTTCTTTTATTAATTACTTTTCTTGTTTAATACCGTTAAGATTTGCAGCTATTTAATGCTACTTTTTTCGTCGTCAGTGTCTGGCCTCCATAGCTCCATAGCACAGGGGTTAGAGCACTGGTCTTGTAAACCAGGGGTCGAGAGTTCAAATCTCTCTGGAGGCAGGAATCGATTTCTTTTATTAATTACTTTTCTTGTTTAATACCGTTAAGATTTGCAGCTATTTAATGCTACTTTTTTCGTCGTCAGTGTCTGGCCTCCATAGCTCCATAGCACAGGGGTTAGAGCACTGGTCTTGTAAACCAGGGGTCGAGAGTTCAAATCTCTCTGGAGGCAGGAATCGATTTCCTTTTTACTATTTTCTTGTTTAAAATAGGTAGTTACTAATGAGAACATTTGCACACAATGCCCACCTTTTGAGTCAGGTCCTACGCTATTCTCTAAACAAGTACGTACTTCTTCGCTCCATTTTGCGTCTCCATCTTACATTTGCGACCATAGCTTAGTTTAATAATAATCAACTAATCATAAAGCTACATTGATTGCAGCAATTTCTTTAATCAGTTTTTCTACATTTCAGGTAACCGCCGCACACCGCCTCAAATTGAACCGAACAAACTCTACCAACTGCCCCAATCAGAGCTGGTAGACCTGGTGCAACTGCACATGCAAGAAAATACCGCGTTGAGGACCGAAAACACGGAACTCTTCAACGTGAGGGACCAGCTCCTCAGGGACCAGGAGTTGCTGAGTCGGGAGAACGAGAGGCTTTTGAAAAAGCTCGAAGATGTCAATTCGTGAGTAAATGCTTAGGTAGTATGAAAATGAATCATAGCATAGGTACAATGATTTTAGGCCTGGTTTTCACCAAGGCGCAGCGGAGAGAGATGTGTCGGGCGGACTATTTTTCTATAGAATTTGACATGGGGCGCTGTGCGGAGCGGAGATGTGCAAATAATGAAATCTGATTGGTTATTCAAAACATGCATCTCTGCTCCGCTTCGCCTTGGTGAAAACCCAGCCTTATAGGGATTTTTATATGTATAGTGAAACAAATGAGCAAGGATCTTCAGCCTAAGAGACAGGCTATTACTCGTATTTACTTAAATTAATTAGCTTAATGGAAAAGCGGTTACATCACAGGATATGGGTATATTTACTAATCACTATTAAAATAATGAGCTGCGAAATAATATTTTTACTTATAATTCCATAAAACATAGGACAAAACCAGCCTATCCTGACCTCATTTCATGTACGATGTTCTATGTATCCTAAAGCTAACATTTGGCAATGTTCTTTAGGACGATTTTCGGATTCAGCTGATGTCCGAAAGATCAGAGGTCAGTGGAAGCAGTGGAACGCACGACACGCATGAGAATTGAATCACCTTTCACCTAAATATAAAACAAAATAAGTAAAAATGGTTTAGGTGCATGATGATAACAAAGAAATAATAAAATCAGCACTGTCACGTGTGGATTAGACTAGTGAAATTTTGATATGGTTAATTTTACAGAGTTATACATAATACTTGTCCAATTAACCCTTTATCTGAGGATAGGACATATGGAAGTATTATGGCATCATATTGTGACCTTAATCAGTAATGTAGGATTTTCTGTTTTAATGAATATGCACTTGTTAACATAAAGCCAGGTCTCCAACGCATGTTTTGCTCTACAAAAACATGTCAACATCCAACAAAATTGCCTACAAAAAATGTTGAATGTTGACATGTTTTTGTATATTGTGTAGGGCAAAACGCACAAAAAAGCGAATTGGTCCAATTACGAATTGGACCAATCGCGAATTGGACTAATAGCGAATTTGTGAATTTTTCACGATTGGCCCAATTGCGAATTGGACCAATCGCGCCTAAACGCTTAACTATAACCCTTAATTATACATACTAATAGCACAATTAATTCCAGTGTTTGCATACGCTCACCCATCATTCCTGCGCGACCAACGTACTCGGACGGTGGGACTATTGGCGCCAATGTTTGGACCAACCCTGCCGTGGCCACGCCCAACGTTGGAGCCAATGAAAACACTTTTGGTAAATTAAACTTGAACAAATAAAATTGTGTACTGCTAATGTTTATGTTTTGCAAATGTATAAATTACTTGTAAATAAATAATAGCAAGCATAGTATGTTGTAAGCTTAATTATGTATAAATAACTATTTTATATGTAGATGTCATAAATATTTGTTTTAAAATAAAAAAAGAGTGGAATAATAATGTTTTAGATAAAAATAGTGTTTTTACTTCACATCCCATTTATTCAATGGATAGATTTTATGAAGTAAATTCAATTTAACCAAACATTTAAATGTTACAGCTTATTTATTCAGTTTATTTATAACTAATTAGGTAATACAGAGTATAAAAACCACAAATATTACATTACAGATTGAGATGTATATAAAACAACACAGCAGATGCTGTGAAACCGTATCTAACCGTACAATGACTGAACTAAACCAAAAGCAAAAGCATTGGAATCTGCAGACCAACACAAATAATGCTAATGAAAATCAAAATATTTCTGCTAAATGCTTGTTAAGGTGTTAATACAACTTGATATAGATTGTTTGGGATTGATACATCAATATAACATGACATTATATCTGGTATAAATATTACAGAGAAAAGTCAAAGAAAAGACAATTAGAATAACCTAACCCACTATGGGTTAGGTTATTCTAATTGTCTTAGCTAAACAAAAAATGTAATTAAACATATCACATTAACGTCCATATCTCTCACACATACCCTAAACCGTCAAAATAATTGCTGAACCATCATAACAGTGCTGATGCGATTTTATCTTAATCTAATCGGTGAAGATGCATACTTGGAAAATGTATTTATGCCACTTTAAAACGGAAAATATTAATACATATTTTGTATATAGCTATTGTTGAAAACACTGAATAGTAACACTTAATTAACACTTAAGAAACTCATATCGCTGGCACGTATGATAGTTGGCAAATACGGATGACGTCTAGAGTAACTTTACTGCTAGTGCCTTCTAAACCCATATTTCTTTCTTTCGTAGAACAGATCTGTTTTTGAACTCCCCAGGTTCACAATCTTCGGACAGCCATCTCTCTGTAAACAACAAAAAGAATTAATAAATATTTAATATTCAATACACTCTCACATCATCAATTCCACATCCTTAAAATTCCTATTAATGCAACAAAAGGTAGCCTACATTATTTTCACAACTCGAAACTGTCTCTTTACAAACAGAGTTCCGGGAACTAGTTCAAATTATACATGAAAAGTTAGCATGGTTATTATTGCAATATTCTACAAATTGGATGATGATTATCACCAACAACTCAAGTGATAAACGGTGTTCAACTTACGTCTTTCTCTTGTATAGTGCACTCCTTACAATAGTAAGCGTCTGAGACTCCAGGGCCTCCGCAGATCACGCATCGCCCTTGGTAAGAGCCGTAGTTGCACTCATCGCAAATACGCACCAGCGTGCAAGGACGCACGTACGAGTCGCAAATCACGCATTTGCCGTCACATTTCTCGCAGAGACGCCCGATAGCTAGAAAATTCACATGAAAATCAGTTTCAGAGCTCCAAAATACAGCTATAAAATTGTGTAGTTTATAGATACAATGAACACTTACCAACTCCTGGCTGCTTTCGGCAGAAAATAAGATCTGGATGATGCTTGGCCATAGCAAATAGGTTTTCTTTTTGGTATAGATTTTATTGAAAAATAACGCCGACAGGCGATAACTTATTCATAAATAATCACCACAATAACCTCAAAATTTTCTGTCAACAACAATCCATAGAGAAAAAGTAACAACAATCAATGACAGACATCAAGTCAAGCCCGAACCAAACACATCTTTTTTTTTACTGGCAATGTGTGTATTCAAATAACGATTAACGATTAGTCTAGTATACCTTAGTTCTTTAGAAATTTCCCTAAATGTAAACAAATATGGCCAACTGACATTGACGAATTTTTAGTCTATGTCAGTTGATCTACTAGTGATGCGACAAAATCTCTCGTTAATCGCAATTCTGTAAATGTCATTTACGGACTGCAACAGACGATTATTAGATTTTTAAAGATCGTTTGTATAATTATTAAGATCAATCCCTCTTCTAATTGATGTTGAGATCAGTAATCTGATCGTCAAAATAGGATCTTCTTAATCAAAGAAAATTTAATTTTCCCTTTTTTATTTGTTTAGGAAATATAATTTAAATTATACTATAAACCAGTCGAAAAATGGTCGAAAGGCCTTTTTATGTGACACTCGTCTGTATAATATAGCTGAATTCAAAGACTTCTTCACAAAGTGAAGTGTGTTGTTGCATTCAATGAAGAAAAAATACATTGTTGAATTATAACCTCGTTTATATTTTATTTTAAATTAATATTATCAAAGTAATTGGTAATTGAAATAATTGAATACTTGAAATAAAATCGATAAAATTTACAGATTATTATCTATGAATATTGTCTATGACTTACAGATTTTCCAGAGATAGGACCTAAATTTAAACGTCAAATGTCGATTTGACATTTTAACATGAAGCACAAATTTTCACCATCCGAATATTTTGTTAAAATATTTTGTTTTCAATGTTAGATTTCATATTTGTTTCATCATGAGAATAAAGNAATTATTGTTCTCAAACTCAACATCAAGTGAGTTTGGTGAGTTTGACACTGGCACAGAGTTTTTAGCAGTAGTATCATTGAAATTGTTTGGTTGTTGTTTTGGCTGAATTAGCGTGTCGGAATGAGATTCCGAGTGACATTCACATGAATCAAGCGAAGGAACTGTAGAGCTTTTATGATGACGTCTCCTCTTTTTATTACAGTGTTTACAATACTTAGGTACAGAGGCCCGTTTTAAACGTTTGGATTTATTTTGAGAATGTTCGGAGCCATCCGTGCATGAACTTTCAGTATCTAATGCTGAATAATTATTAGCTATAGTGACATTGTACGAAACCTGGGGGACAGAGCCCCCAGGTTCGTCTGGGTCGTTCATGTAACCAGAGAAAAAGGTAAAAACTTACCAGAGCACTGCCAAAATCACTAACTAATAAATAAATAGAAAGATAAACATAAATATACTACACTCCACTACTTAACTGATCTCTATTTACTAGATAATTTATAAAAATCGCAAAAGCAAAAATTGAGACAACCGCCTAGCTTGACGTTTCCCGCGCTTTTTCTCGGTCATAACTTTTTACTGACAGCTTATTTTTTTTCGTCCCATACTGAAAGTTAATCTCTATGGACTCTATGGACTATAAGCCAGTGTAGGTCTCATTGGTGGTGGACATTTGGATCACTTTTGGTCATTGTCCTTTTATATTAACTGCTGAGATTAACTGCTAATAGAGATAGACAAAGTTGACCACCCATGCACGCAGCGCAGTTCGCGAGCTTGTACCAAGGCGAGGCATGAAATTTCATAAAAAGAATACTGAACCGCTCAAGTTGAAACGGTTACGATCCCTTCCCGAGTTGATAGATGTGTATAGTGTAGTATTTTATAGTATTTGTACATACTACGTGGCTAAGTTTAGAACTAGTTTTAAAATATATTGTGGAAAAATAACGATTAAATTATATTAGTTATTTAATCGTTATTTATTGTGACGTCCTTATTGTTTGACATTTGGTTGGGTTGACAGTGACCATAGATAAATATTAATTTGTGACAGTGACAGACACTCTGCAACACATGTTTTTCGTGTGGTGTTTATTTTAAATTAAAAAGAAATAATTTACAATTAATAATGACTGAAAATAGTGGGAGTGAAAGTGAAAATGAATCTAATAACTCAGAAGAGGAGCAACCTGACATGCCCAAGGAAGACGCTAATGAAGAAGAAACAGTAACTTTCAAAGATCTGGTAAGAAATGTTATTCCGCGTGTTATTTTTAATATTCTGCTTGTTTAATTACTTCCTGAGTTGATTTAGTTACTTATACTTTTATTTTTCATAATCATCATAAACGAAACACTGTAAATGTGCTGCTTTTTTTAGTTTAAAGCATATCAAAAAGTCACTTATAGGTTATGATCAGTCTGGTCATTTCTCATGCATGCTGCTCTTTTGCAGGGCGTCGTTGATGTATTATGTGAAGCGTGTACAGAGTTAAAATGGAAGAACCCTTCGAAGATCCAGAAAGAGGCGATCCCTGTTGCTTTACAAGGCAAAGATATCATTGGTCTTGCAGAGACTGGGTCTGGAAAAACTGGCGCCTTCGCGCTGCCAATCCTGCAGGCTCTCTTGGAGAACCCTCAGAGATATTTTGCACTTATACTGACACCTACCAGAGAATTGGCATTCCAAATATCTGAACAGTTTGAGGCATTAGGTAAGGAGTTTTAAAAGTTTGTGCATGTTACATTATTAAAGCAGTATTTTTATCAACTTATGTCCGGGACCTTTTTTACTTATTTCAAACTTTTGTACTTAATCTAATAAAATTCTAAATGAAAATCTAGCCTAGAGATGTGCCGCTGAGAAAGTTCTCGTTCCCGGCAATATTCCCAGTGAGCATATTCTCGAGAACCGAGAACGCTCCCGGGAATATTCTCAGTGTTCTCGACAGAATACATTTAGTTTTAATTTAAATTTTGTTGTTTATATGTGATATTATTTGTAATGTTTCGATGTTTTATTAACTGGGCGTTAAGACTAGTCGTTATAAACAAGGCATAAAACGTGTGAGTGAGATATTGCAGTCTTGCTCACTCTTTTCGTGGCGAACGCGTGCCGCGGCTTTAGGACTCGGCTACGGTATTTGAACATCAGTGTGCCTCTTGAGTTTTAAGGCCCTTGCCACCCTAGCGGATTGCAAGCGGATTCAAAGTAAAGCGGATTCAAAGTGGATTTAAAGCGGAGAGGTGACGCGACGGAGAAGCCGCGTGAAAATATCGTGAAGCTTCCCGAAGGCTGCCCAGCCGAGCTGGATTCGATGAATGACCTTTTTTTCGAAATTGGACCTACCTAACTGGACTGTTTGCCCCAGGTATACATTAT